ATGCAAATAGTAGTTACTATTAATTATTATATGGTAGGAAAGAAATTGTAATGTCTTTAAAATTCAACTATGAAACTATGAGGAAGAGGAAAGACATTAATAATACACACAGGCTGTCATACATTTACACTAAAGTGGCCAAAATTATTGGTGAATGTTGACAAACATTGGCTCCACTTCCCATTATTGAATGCAAAATTGGAATTTTTTTAAAAAAAAATTATTGAATGAAAAATAGAAATTAATTAAATCTATAGTTTTTTTTAATGGTTGTGATTATATCTTGATAATCACGATGATCGTGGTAAAATTTGAGACGCTACGATAAAAAAAAGGGTCATTTCATTTTGATAAAATACTCAACACCTAAGTTTCATAATATATTTTGATTCACTGTCCCATTTATAAGGAGAAAGATCGTTCTTTATGTCGCTTGACACTATAGAGTATAGTTCAAGGATAACAACAACACTTCATAATTTAAGTATAAAATTTATAAAACATGAACTGTTTTTTTTGGGAGTTTCATTTTTTTTTAAATATCATGGTTGCCTCATTATATATAAATGAATAAAAAATTAAAATTAGTAGCAAAAAGTGAATAAAATAGTAACCAAAAAAAAAAAAACTTTTCTTGAAAGTGCTCAATGGAAGTAGACAAAAAATGCTGATTGTGGGAACACAACTGCCACCACTGAAATTATTACATCACTAGTGACTATTTTTATACATTTTTTTTAATAAAAAATAAAAAAATAATCTTTGAACTTTTAAAAGTGTCATACAATATACCCTAATAATCATATCTAGGGTTTATCGGAAACTGATTCTCTACCTCCTAAAGTCATACACATTAACATAATATCAATTCGAATCTCACTTGTAGAATTATACTAATATATTGTCAGTTTGTATAATAATCATATCTTAGATTTGTATAACGTTGAAGAAATAAGAACGAGTGGAATAGTCATACAAAATATAGTTGAAAACTTAGAATTCTTCTAATAAAATTTAGTTGAAAAAATATGTTGGTCAAAAGCTGCTTTATTTATTTTTTTTTCTGACAAAAAACTTACAAGTAGGTGAATCTTTTAGTATCTTCAGAAAAAACTTACAAGTAGGTGAATCTTTTAGTATCTCAAATTCTAGTTATAGTAGCTAAAAAGTGGAGTATTTGTATAAGAAAAGCTAATTTGACTCAAGAACAAACAGATACTAAAATTTTAACTTTTCTTTTTTTGGTTTTTACGTCATTTTAGAGTTCAACTAATTTGAATTCACACCAAGTAGGATTCATTCGAAGAAAACGCTCCCTACCAATGATTTATATCAAAAGCTGACACTTTGATAGGAGCAACAACCTCATTCGCTGAACCATATTGTTGGTGATAAATTCAATCTACTAGAACCTTAGGAGTTGACACTTCTTATTTATTTGAAAGTATTTTAAATTGGAAGCAAATTCATATTTTGGACCTTTTCAAAAATCTTAGAAGGAACTTTATATCTTGAATTGCTGACATTTGAGAATAAATATTTTAGGTGTAATGTTTGTTAAATTATATTGCATCGCAACGATAAAAAACTCATTTTATGTAGCAACTAATTTAATATAATTGCATTATTACCTTAGTATTTTCTTCTCATTCCTTACATTTTCATAATAACTCTACCGTATCCTACTTGTACGTTTATCATTCAAAATATGAATATGACATTATATATGGACGAAAAACGATAATATCTATCTAAACACCGCATTCATTAGAACAATACAATACATTATGAACAATACATAACAACCATCCAAACGGAGTGTTAGGGTATTTTGTTAATACGGTGCTTCTCACAATTAATACTATTTTACATCACCTTCATTGGTTTCATCTTTTGTCTGCTCAGTGCTTTTGGTTCTTCGTTTAATCTTTGCCTCTTGATCGAATTTTTTTTGTGCATCTTCGGTCTGTTTTCGACCTGAATTTGGGGTTCTTTGGAAGAACTTATTTTTTGGGGCCTAAAGCCACTGCTTTAGCGTTGAGCCGCCCTTGCCTGTGAATGATAAAGGGAACCATTGTTGCTTGCCATGATAATGCACTCCGAAAGGAAAACAAGAAACAGGAAAAAACGTCTTTTTTACTTCAACGAAGAGAGACTTCGAACCTGAATCTGATTTTTTAGACATGTAATGAAGGACTGGAGCTGCCTCAACCTGCAATAAAGTCTCCTTCTGAGAATTGGATATATGACTATGACGTTATATTATGTTCGGCCAAACTTCTAAAATCAACTTAGTATTTTTCAAAAAAGTACTTTTGGTGAGAAACAGATTTGTGTTTGGCTAATCAATTTGAAAAACACTTTTGAGCAACAATTAGTGTTTGGTCGAACTTTTAGGAAGTGCTTTCAAAAAGGATATAAACATCAATGTGACTCTTTAGGATAAAAAGACATGAAGTCGGGTTCTGTTACTATAACAGCTATGGCTTCTTACGTGATAAAAGCACCCTAGTTTTTTTCTAGTGCCACACCATAGTAAGCCCTAACTTCGTTCACTATTATAACAAGGGTGCTTTTATCGTGTTAGGAGTTGTAGCTGTAATAATAGTAGAACCCGACATGGTGTCTTCTGTCCTAAAGAATCGCGTTTATTTTTTTCAAAAGCACTTTTGGAGAGAAGCTACTTTTTTCAGTTTCATCTTCAGCTTCTACTCAGTCACCTTTTCTTCTCCTAAAATCTTGGCCAAACACCTCAACTTTGAAAAGAGAAGGAACTTACTTTTAGCCTTGGCGAAGCTTTGGCCAGACAGGTTAGTAATTAGAGAAAGAGTGAAGCTGGCTAGTTATGAAAATAAATGATAAACACCGAATGTAGGTTCTGCCAATTAATTACCTTGCCATGGGGAGATACTAGCTTTTGCAGGGCTGTGATCTTGTCCGTTAGGCCTCTCCACAACTCCTTTGTTTTTCCTCACTGACACCTGCAACACAAGCATAAACAACATCCTTTATGAAGCTAGACACTTAATCTGCGCTGCTGACCGAGCTAATCTTTACTGGAATACCTCTTATCATCACAAATAAAACAGGAAAGAGCAGAAAAACAAGAAGGGGTCATTTGGTTGTTGGTCAGAGTTATGCAGGAATTAGTTATTCCATCTTCTATCCTGCATAAAATTAAGTAGAGTCCCTAGTAACTTATACACGTATTAGTTATGTGAGATTTTGTTTCGATAAGCAAGATTCAACAGAGTACATCTTGAAAAATTTACATGACTGCAAAAGTGGGGATACTTTTCCTCAGTTTGATTGCCCAGTTGTGATACATATACTTTTGTATAAGCTAATTGCGAAAAAAGATCTCTTAGTTTGTCTTTCATTAGCTCTTTACCAGTGAGATGTTCTTTCTCCTTGGGCAAACTTACATCTCTGTTTCACATACTACCGATGAAAGGGTAGGAAAATGTCCGCAAAAGGGCATATATCCAATCATGGATCTAGAAGAGAAGTATCTAAGTATATGTTCAGTAACCAATAATTTAGCTGCACTATCAATCCATTAAAACAATACTCAATGGCAACATATCACCCGTTCCTCTGATGTAGCTGAATAATTCAAGGTATTACATAAGACTCAAAATGTAAGAAAAAAATGGTACCCTGGAAGAAATACTAATTGCTGCATCCAGGAGTAGTACCATAGTTAATGATATGCGTTCTCTCGTTTTTTGATACTTTAGCACAACATAGAGGTAGTTGGTCAAAAAAAAATTCAAGTGGTAATTGTTGTAAATGACCCCTATTATTTGCCCATAAATGAAGTCGTCGAAAGATTTGGCCAAGGTTTTTTGTGTCCATCCCACAATGGATGAATTGAAACTAGTTTACTTAAAGAAGAGGTTGCCAACATTAACATAATATTAGAAGATTACAAAAGGTCTTGGAAACAATATATAGTTAATATTATGTCAGATAGTTGGACGAACAACAAACACAAATGTTTCATCAACTTTTGGTTACAATCTCTCGCTGCCTTTATTTGGTGGTAGTGTAATAATGAGATTTGGCTACTAAAGCAAGATAATGGTACAAAAAGTAGACAAAAAAATAGGAATAATCACTAGCAATGGTTCTATTTTATTAGTGTTAAAAAAAAAGGATAATGATTATTGGCAACTCGGCCTCATATTTATTGGACTCCACATTGTATTGGACTCAAGCCAAAAGACACAAGCTGAAATTTCATCAATCTATACTTCCAAAAGAATAAGAAGATGCCAAGTTCATTTATGAACACCTTTGTTAGTTTAATGAGATTTTTCACAAATAATCAAGAGCTTCTTTGTCCTACTGTCACTCTTTGCCACATATAAGAGTAACACAAGATTTGGATCTATTTTTAACCAACTAGACTTTTACTTTGGGGTTTAACCCTATTTCATAAGACCCTATAAATACTAATCGTCGTGTGATTTTTCTAAGTTTGTATGATTGAAGATGGGAAAACCCTTGAGAGGTTGTAGAGAATCTAGTTCTACTTTAAGTCTCTGAGTTCTTCTAATTAAGGTATATTTAGTGGTAATTTTCTTCTTGTTCAGATTTAATGATTTAAGCTGTTTATTGGAATTCAAGAATCTGAAATATTGAAGCTCGAGCTATTGCTACAAATTCACAGGATAAAAAGCCAAATTATATAAAGTGAAAATCAGCTCCAGAAAGGTTCAGATCATGAGATAGTACACTTGCACAGTTCAAAACCAACTTCCCCGGAATTATAATGTAAATGAAATCAGCTTTGGCAGTGTCGAGGTACAATGAATTAAGCATGCCTAGCTACATTCAAAGATTCAGAAACATGGGATTATGAGAAACCTAAGCATTCATGCGTAATCTATCTAAACGATGATATTCCAATAAAAATACAGACAGATAATAGGAGCATATAAAGCTGTGTTACTCATGAACCCTAAAAATATAGAGCAGGTGGAGAAGAGATGCGTACCCAGATATTTCCCCAAAGCCTCCTCTCCCTAGGTTAAATTTGGTTAGACCTCTGTTAATGTCCTCTGACAGCTTTCTTTTCCATTCTGCATTTTTCATTTTTCTAAAAAGGAAGTTTCTATACATACAGATAGAAGAGCTGACCCACAAACCCACAAATACACAAGCAAATCCACTTCATTATCCAATAGTTCAGTCATCATCGGACACACAAACAACAGAACTTACATTAGTAGCTGGCTCTGAAGAGATAGGACCTCTCTGTACACTGCCCAGTGAATGAAAATCAGATAGGTCTAATGAATCAAAGTTACAGCCTATATCTGGTAAAGGTGGCATAAAATTAGGCCTGTTTGCACGAGATCGATTCTCCATTTCTTGAAGCAGTTCCCGTGCTGAGAGAGATGGATTTTGTATAGCAGGCAGTCCTCCAAGTCCATGGTCCAAGGACGTATTCCTAGAATCAGAAAGATTTACAGGTAATTGTTGCACTATGGGTGGCTGTATTGGATTTTGCAGTGTTGATCGAAGAGATGCAGCCACGTAAACGGGTCGTGGATGAACTGGCATGCCATTTGGAAGGGTTGACGGACTGTTAACAGACGTTGATGTTGGTCCCTTGAAACGCTGAAGATGTGGAGCTGGAGCACGAACTTCGCCACCTAATCGATGATTACCCCTGGAAGGAGTGATTGCACTAATGATAGGCGGCGGCCTGCTTATACTTCCTGCAGAAAATGTGGTTGAACGACTAACAGCAGCAGGTTGGCTACATGAACATGAACCAGCAACAGATGAAGATCTTAATGGAGGCAAACAAGCTTCTGCAGATTGTACTGAACCATTAGCAACTGGTGAAGATGAGATAGCAGTCTGCTGGGACTCCACAGGTTGGCGAGCTGAGGATGAACCACTGATTGTGGAAGATCTTAAACTCTGCTGCTGCCGTACCTGATCTGGATGCGGCATATAACCAGGAGGCACAACTGGAAAGAAACGATAGATACTAAAATCAAGTTTTTCATGTTGTGTTAATTGCCGAAAATTATACATGTGATGCACAATCCTTATAATTAGATAAAAATGAGTTTTTTGTGGGCCTTTGAACTAGATACAAACCAAGTACACGTGTATACTATAAGGAAATTAGCAATCTGAAGCATCAAATAACACAACTTCAAGAAATAGCAAAGAATTCTGGGTTGTAGTTTGAGATACATGAGGCCTCAGAAAGATATAGAATTCGACTAAAGACATTAAGCTTGCGAGGTAGAGATCATGGTTCATTCCAAGAACGAGATTTAATCAACAAGATTTAGCTGTTAGATATGTTGAACAATATGTGTTTTGGGGCCACAAAAAAAGTTGAAGTCAACAACACAATTCCCCTATGTCATAATTAATGTCGGTAAACAGCAAATATAGAGCCCTCTCTACCTTTATAAGGTAGGGGTAAGTCTGCGTACACACCACCCTCCCCAAAACTCCACGTGTGGGATAACACTGGGTATTTTGTTGTAAACAGGAAATATACAACTAATGTTTAGGAACACATAATACACAATTAAAATACTTTGCTGTATACCTGGAAGATCAGAAATTTTGACATCCATGAATGTAAATCTGAAAGCATCAACTAGAGCTTTATTCATGAGAATTTTGTTCTGATTCATATCAAGCTCCTTCTTCTTCAAAAGATATGCTGCCTCCACCTCCTGAAGCTTTAAATCATATTTCTTACGGATTGGTGCTATAGCCTCCTCTATCTCTTTCTTGCACTCAGATCTCAAATGCAATTTCTGTTCAAAGAGAGGAAAACAGGTTAATAAAATGATGCATGGAGTCCTGAGTTATAATCATGGAGGATATTGGACACAAACCATATCCTCAAGGCCCTTTGTCACTTGTTCTTTTTCTTTATGTATTCTTTCCCATTCTATATGAAGAGGGTCCGCATGGAAAGGAAGAGCTAAATTACAAGTGGCCATCTGATGGGCAGGACGCACGGATCCCTGAACAAAGGCAACATTAGTGTTAGTCTGAGAGATTACTTGACTAGGAAGTTCAGCAGAACCCTGAACCACTTGAAACACAGTTTCAGTATTCTGAGAACATACACACGGATTCGTAGTTGATTGAGGATGCAATCTACTCACTGCTGGTAAGAAAGATTGATTGTGGGTAACCCTAACGTCTGACTGAACAGATGCACAAGGCTCCAGATTTTCCCCAGCTGGAGAAACAGCTTGATGTGAAGGTCCTGCTGCATGGGGAGAGGATCCAGGGATTGGAATAGAGTTTCTTTCATCGTGGGCTTGAGGTGCAGACTCCCTGCGAGTATGGTGAGCGGCAACGGGAACACCATCATCTACTCTATGATGTTGCTCACAATTGCCAGCTAAAATTGCTTCAGAAGTGTTGTTTATATTATGTCCAGAAACAAGTTCAGTTTGCATTTCAATCTGGTTTTCACCAGGTGGCATATCGTTATTGTGTGTTCCATTATCTCCTGAAGAACGGGAACATTCATCTAAATTTACCTGATCCAGCATAAGTGAAAAACTATCAATAACAAATCAGTCTGATTATATCCATAACTCATTGAAAGAAAATGCATGTGCTTGCACAACATGTACACGATTTTTGGGAGATATAAGTGGAAAGACACCTGAGATAACACTAACTTACTTTACGAGACAGAATACACATCCTCTAGTTAAAGATATTTTAACTTTCCCAGGGAAACCCCTAAACTACTTGTGTCCAGATTTAGAACCTAAACAGACAACAGGATGATCCAACACATGCATCATATAAACGTGCAAAACAAAAACAAACATACTGGATTTTGCGGTAAAGAACTAGCATCATCTGAAGTAGGAACTGCTGCTACACAAGGCATGTCTGCTGGTAATTCATCTGGAGTTATTGGGTTTCCGTCAATGGGGCTAACTTTGTCTCTCTGGTTTCCAACAACATTTGGCAAAAAAGAATTATTTTCTGTAACCAATTCTTGAATAGTGTTATTTACTTCAGATATTTTATCATGTCCAACAGCTTCATTAAGAGCAACTTCAGATACTTCCAAACAAACTCTACTTTGTTTGTCCAATGCAACTTCACCAGTATGTTCTTTGGGAGACAGAGGAACCTTGCAAGCATTTTCCTCTTCACTGTCACCTGAATTACCGGCTTCATTAGACTGCTTAACAGCAGAAACTGATTCACTCCCCATGGATGTGATCTCAGCTAGCTCATCTGAAACTGAAGCTGCTAAAACATTAGTAGATTGAACAGGAAGAACATGGCACGCTGCTGGAGAAGATGCAGGTGCATCAGATGCTGCCATGTCACCCTGCAAGGCAGAGACAGCTGTCTTAGGAATACTGTCAGAGACATTTAAATTTTCCTGAGAGCACTCCATCTCGTCTCCAGAATCATGGCCCCTACCAGAGGAGTTTTCTCTGGTCTGCTGCGATGAAACCTTCTGCATTTCCTCATTCCTCATAGCAGAGTATTTAGCCTTAAGCTCTTTCAGTTGCTGGTCCTTTAGGCGTGTGTGCACTTCAATTTTCTTTGCAAACTTAGTTTCTAATGATTTTTGTCCATCCTTTGTTGCTGCAGTCTCACCATGTATAGCGCGAAGAACAGCTATCTCCAGTCTGCACTCCTCCTCTAGCACTTCATTTTTCTTCTCCCAGATTCTATGGAACTCCTCAATTTTCTCGTGTTCCTCTTGTTCCCGCATGGACATTCGTTTGCCATGTCCACACTGAACCTCCTTAATGACCTTTTCCCTTTGACTATCCCTAAGTTTTTCTGTAGGAGTCACAGTGCCTTCTCCACTTAACTCATTATCTTGTAACCTGTCTATGATATCAGTTTCCACATTCAGTGGGGCAGATATTGCAGCTTGTGATATGCTTTCCTTATATGGTTCTTCTCCAACAGATTTCACTGGTGATATAGAATATCTTGAAGAGCTTGAAGCATTACCGCTCGGATCCAATCTCCGCAAAAACATCTTCTTTAAGGAACGCAGCTTCAGATAGACATTGTTTGCCTCTTCTTTAGTGCATCTGAACTCTAGCCGTTGTTTTACGAGCAAGAATATATCGTCTTTGTCAATCTTTTCCTTTAAGATTGAAGCTGCAGCCCAAGACTGTAAATTACAGTAAATTAACAGCAATAAGAACACAACGATAGTAAAATCAACATGTAAATTTAAGGCTACTTTAAAGACATCTCAAGCTGCAAGAAGAGTCATGAACTGAGACAAACCCTTTTCCTCAAGCTTTCATACACACAAACTACTTTACCATTAGAAAAAATTGAGCATGTTAAAACTTGTGACCTTAACAAGTAAATAGTATTATTTTTCTCTTCTTTTTTCCGTGAGAACTGTGATGCCAGTATAAAAGTCCATTGTTGTGCAAAATAATACTTACTATGTCCCAATTTATGTGGCAGTGTTTGACTAGACATACAGTTTGAAAAAGACAGAAAGACTTTTGAAACTTGTGGTCCAAAAAGAAGCCATTGAAATTTGTGTGACTAACTATAAATAATCTCATTAAGGGTGAAATGAGAAAATTAAAGTTAAATTGTTTCTAAATAAGGAACTATGACCTTCTTTATAGGATAAACTAAAAAGTAAAGTATTGAAACTTAAATTGGGACAAAAGGAATATTGGGAATAATTTATACCTACAGTGAAATGAGAAAATTAAAGTTAAATTGTTTCTAAATAAGGAATTATGACCTTTATAGGACAAACTAAAAAACAAAGTATTGAAACATAAATTGGGACAAAAGGAGTATTGGGAATAATCAATACCTAGAGTTACTTGCATATACAACAAAACTAATCCTCAGTCCAAACAAATTGGGTCAGCTATATTCCTCACCTCCAAACAAACACTATACCTCAATCCCAAACAAGTTCAGGTCGGTTATATGAATCCTCACTAATCATGTTTCTCTAATTAAACTCATTGCATGCCATAATCATAACAAAGGAATCACAAAATGTTTTTTCCTTAACAATGTTTATAACTTCATCTATTAAAAGACTAAGCAAATTTTGATTTATGATTTGTTTTATTTACCTAGTACACACCCAAATCCAAGTTAAGTGGTGTATATCACGCGCTGCCACATATATATTTTAATAAAATATAATTAAAATATATAGTTTTTCTTATTATTTTTCTGTTTTTTTATATTTGTTTCCTGATTCTCTTTCTTTTTCTTTTTCTTTTTCTTTTTCCCTTATCGACATTTCACCCTTCGGACAGTACTACAAAGACCAAGCACTCCATCCATTGCACCACCAGAAGACCCAAAAGAGCGACCATGAACCACCCACCATCAACGACATATCCACCTTCTTTGAGATAACAAAAGGCAACTGCAACTGCTCCATTTTTTCGCGTTGTCGGTAATAAAATACAAATTTTAATCGGCATACGCGACCATTCCACCATTTTTGCAGCACTATAACAGGGGAAAAAAAGTTAATAGGAAAATTAGTCCCTTGTGTAAATATTCTGGTCTTTTTCCCGTTAAATCGACATCTGCAATGGGTTTTGTTCCTTATCGGGAAGTCTTCTTTGTTTAAGTTTTCTTGGGTTGAAATTGAACTCACGGTACAAATCTAATTGGGTTTAAGTTTGGAAAATATCAAAGGAGTTAATTATCTTAATCAGTCATTTACATATATGGAGGTTGACTTTTTTTTTTTAAGTAACTAACTTTTTTTCAATAATCACCCGAATCTGAATTACAAATCAAGCTCAGCCAGCTTAGTCTCATTTATAACACCATCCCATCCTACTGCTATCTACCAGACTCCTCATCAGAACTCAACAGGAACTATGACTTTACAAGCCATGATTTACAAGCATAAGCAATATTTCTAGTCAATCTAATCTCATCCACAACCTGTTGTTCATATATCCTGACATTCCTTTCTATCCAGATGGCATATGCAGTTTCAGCAAATACCAATTTAAAATCTGGGCTTTTTGGAGGTTGACTTTTTGTTGTAGGGTTTCACAATATTAATCAATTTGTTTTGTCAATTCCTCAGTTCCATAATTAGGAATATTTAATTAGGGAAACGTAGAAATATGCTTCTATAACTGTGACTATGGAGTATTTTAACCCAATCTTCATTTCAACCTATGAAAACGAAAAATGAGAAGTCTAAGAAAAGAGAAAGAACGGAAAAGAGAAAGGAAAATTAAATGCAAATATAATTGTTTTTATATTTGTGTTTCTTGCTCCCTTGACACCTCAGCAAATAGCTAAAATTAGTCTGGGGGGTCATAGGACCCTCGCAAAGTATAAGTGTGTAACTGGTAACTCAAAACAAGTCTAAGGGTGTTCTTAGCCTTTTCCCCTTTTTTCGTTCACTGACAAGATTATGTATTTATAGAGAGAGATAGAGAAAATTCACCTTTTCTTGTACAGTTTCACAGTTGTATTCTGGATTCTTAACTTCATCCCTATTTTAGTTCCTATTATATGCTGCAAATCTAAAGCAATGAATAACTTACAGTCAGAAATATCTCATATAAGCTTGGGATGGAACTAGGATTAGTTTTTGGGCACATAAGTGGTGCAGGGAGATCGAGTTGAAGGAAGCATTTCTTAATTTCTATCGCATTTCTTGCCAAAGAGATGACAGTCCAACAAATTTTGTAGGTCTCACGAGGGTGTTCAAAAGGAACCTTCATGATTGGTAGGTGGAAGAATTTCACAATTTGATAGAGCTTTTGTATGGCCTGGACATGCCAAACAACTTATTGGATTTCCTGAAGTGGCTGGAGAGTGATGACGGATTATTCATTGTTAGCTCCTTTTATAAGAGGATGCTAGTGAGAGATGAAGGTACCTTCCCCCGCGACTCCATTTGGATCCTAGAGCACCAAGGTCTTTGTATGTTGGCGGCAAGGGTGTGTTATGAACAACAGAGAAGCTGAGAAAGAGGAGAATCACCTATGCCAGTTGGTGTTTCATGTGTAAAAGTGTTGGTGGAAGTGTAGATCATCTTCTTTTGCATTGTAACGTGACTAGTCAGTTCTGGAGGGTAGCCCTTATTCCATAAATTTGCTTAGGATGCAATGGGTCATGTCAGGTATAGTGAAGGAGGTCTTGCAAATTTGGACTCATAGAAGGGTAAAGGAAAGACGGAGGGCGTGGTGCATTGCCCCCTTAGCAATCATGTGCGTCATTTAGAAAGAGAGGAATAGGAGGGCGAAGGGAAGAAACTAGTTTTTTTAAAAATGCAGAGTAGTGTTTTGTCCCTAGTTTCTTTTTGATGTACTTGGGAGGTCCCAATTGATGTAGGTTCTTTTCTTTTGGTATATGGCTTGTATACGAGGTTTCCCCCCAAATGTTAATAAAATTATTTATCTTATCAAAAAGAAAATTGGGGTGTTTGGCCATGAAAATTGTTCACTTTCATGTTTGGCCGTAAAATTCTGAAGAAGTTTGTTTTCACTTTTTCAAGAATTTTCAGAAATTCTAAAAACAACAAAAAGTTGTTTTCACTTCAAATTACTCACAAAAATTCAAAAACAACACTAATTTATTTCATGGTCAAACACAACTCCAATTTTCAAATATCACTTTTCACTTTGAAAACAAAAACTATTTTTTTCTATTTGCACAATGAAACATGACCAAAGGCCTACTTACAATCAGACTTACGGGAAAAGCAAGACAAACAATTGAGGAACATCAAGCTAATGTGAATGGATTTTGAAAGAAAGAAAAGGAGGGGATGTTCCACATGTATCTTTAAAGTAAGCTGTGATATTGTTTCACACTTCAGACCGTGCTCTGGGACGTATTTGGAAGCAGACAAGGTTTATGCATCGCCAATGGCACTACAGTAGATGTGTGATCAAATCTTGTACATAGAGTTGGGAGAAAACGAATTCAAATCGATATTAATCTGGTAAAGATAACTCCTCTTCACCGTCGAACGGATGTTTGATCTTTAGCTTGTGCCATCGACATGTTAACAGCGACACTTTTTCGACATATCCAAGGAAGGTGCTAATAGGGAACATACGAATGCTATAAAGCCTCATATGATGGAGGAAATGAAAAGGTAAAGGTCCAATTTGGTCGATCAATGACCCTTCGGGCTGGCCAGTGGTTTGGACTTGGGACTTCCATGTTGGAGGTCTCAAGTTCGAAATCCCTTGCTAGCGAAAGCAAGGGGTTTGCCTTCTGGGCCAAGCTCGTCGCACCGAACTTGCCTAATGCGGGTTACCTCTTTTGTGTGGTTTGCGAGTTATTGCATAGGAGTGGGGGTTTTACCCGGTGCGCATCCGAAGGGTAGCTGCAGAGGGTTTCCCTTGTCATCAAGAAAAAATTGGTCTATCAATGATTGATCCAGATACGCTCTATTAAAATTCAATGTTTTTAGATATGTTTAATGTATTTAACATTAATGAAAATGATTTTTCCTATCAAAGAACTATGAAAAGTACTACCTTCTCCCTGAACGAGAAGAGTTCCAACCCATATACATATCATGCAAAAGTAAGAACTTCATTACAAAAGTTGTGTTTATGGCTGATGTTGAACGTCCTAGATTTGATTAGAATGGAATCAAGAGGTTTTCAGGAAAAACATGGATCTTTCCTTTTGTGGTCAAGGAGGCAGCTAAACGGAATAGCAAAAATCGAACAGCAGGAACTTAGAAAATGAAACTTATTTTATCTATGACTAAAGATATCACTAGGGCTTGCTTAATCAAAAAAGTTCTTCTAGAGTCAAATGCTCTTATTTTTATTCAAAAAGAAAATGCAAGACCTGACATTAACGTCAACAATATAGAATTTAATGAAGTTGTTCACAAAGGTGGAATTGATATTCAGCTATGCTTTTTTAATCTCCCAATAATATAGTTTTGTATATTTTAAACCTCGAATTCTTTGGACCTATTAGATCCCTTCAAGTTTCAATATCAAAAGACACCTTTAAACTTAACTATTGATGAGTGGATAAATGCAGTTGAAACATCTTTTAATGAGATGAAAGTGGAACGACTCAATCACATGTTTTTAACTTTGCAACCTTGCATGGTTGAGGTGACGAAAGCTAAAGGTGGAAACAACTACAAAGTGTGACACATGAGGAAGGAACGAGAAGGAAGAAGTCTTCTGATTCAACTTTGTTATGATATTGATGTAGTTAATGAAGCTAACACTCTAATTCAAAGGTGATATGGGATATAAGCAATTCAATGTTACTAGGAAAATATCCTTTTTGTAAAGTTTGTTGTTCCTATTTTGTAGCCTTGGCATGTTGTATCTTTTGTATAACCCCTTTTTTATTAGACTCATACATTTAGAGACACAACAGTTATTTAGTTTAAGTAGTTTTATCCTATTTGTAGAGACTCATGCACATAAAAAGTTGTGAATATTAAGTCTATGTTTATCTTATGGACTTGCACTCGAATATGTTGATGCTAAAAGGGAAAATTCTTTGTTGAAATTATCTGCCGATACCTTTCATGGGCTAGCAATTATTGTAATATGGGGGGGGGGGGGGGGGGGGGGGGGGCGTACAACAAAATGGAAAAGAAGTTAAAAGTGACAAACGTTGAAAAAATTTAACAAGTTGTAATCTTTACTTATAAACATTCATCGACTTCTCCACCCGATAGAAGAATCACAACTAACTCTTTATAAATCCAATGGGTCCATGTTCAGTGCATTAGCTAATTGATGGTAATGATGTTCTTTTTTTTTAAGAAAGGTAACAATAATGATGGTAAGGGTGTTACTGGAATTTTAAAAGTAGAGTTACCAAATTAGGAAAGAGACATTCTTTTCTTTATTTGATAACCATGGTGGCGCCACCAGCTTGCACAGAGGGTAGGGTACCTCCCACTAACAATAGGTACCAGGCAATTCTATCCACCAAGGCTAGAACAGATGAGAATTAATCATCTAAGTGTTTTGTCTCTGCTGGGATGTGAACCTGAGACCTCATGACGCTCAACCCACTTCATTGACCACTAGGCGGCCACACCCTTGGGTGCAAGAGGCATTCTTTTTAAAAGAGACTAAAAAAGAAAAGTAAGACATAATTGAAACAGAGGAAGTAGCACTTATGAAGTGAAGCATCCAATCTATGCATTCCAAAAGTCCCACGCCCAAAAGAAATGTTTGGCACTTGAAGTACTCTTCTTCTTTTTTTTTAGAAAGGTTAAAGAAATTGAAGTACTTTTTTTCTAACTACTAGATCTCAATAAAGCTCCGGCTCAACCTACATTCTGAAATCCAATACCCTATATATTTTAATATACAATGTCTTCTCTAAAGGTCGATAAGTTCCAAAAGCTAAATGAATATGGATCTCCTCAAATATAACTAAATTCAGATTTGTCAAGTCTCGGGCAGTTTCTAAGAGACAGCCTCCACTGCATAGAAAATAAGGAAAGATAACGAAATCATTTGTGCTTAAAATACAAAATATGTCAGAAGTACTTTATTGAAACATAATAAAACAGGCAAAGAGATATTGGAAGTGGATGAGAAAAAAATGCTAACCAGAGATATCTGGAAAGCCTGTAAAATTGTTTCCGGCTCCCTACTAACATGATGATTCTCCATAATATATTCCAGAAATTTTTCCGCAGTATGTTTGATGACTTCCTGTATTTAGATTTTAGAGCCATATCAACACAAAGCAAATGACTGGGAGGTCATGACTAGGGTGCCAATCCTTAGTTTATTTAAAAGGAGTAATTACAAGTTCAATGTTGAGTATGGCAATCTTGCCAAAGTACCTTTTTTCATTTTCCTTTATAATCATCACAAACATAACTTCAGTTTTTCTAATGAGATTTCATACCAGCCCCCCATCACCACCCAAAACCCCACCCATTTTATAAAATAAAAAGAACAAAGAATGGGAAAGAGAAACGGAACAAACTATAGATGGCATGAGGTTCCTCATAGCAGATTAGGAAGGGCAAGATGAACTTCTTAAGAATGAGTTGTAAGCAACACAAAATGCTTTTCAAAAGCATCTTTGAGGAACCTAAAGATCATAAGAGGGGTAAGGGAACGAAATGCAACAGGAAAGGATCAACAAACTGTTGTATAAGATTCATTTTCAGGTTAGGGTGCTGGCGCATTTTAGGGAAGTTTGGAAAACCAAACATGTTCTAAGTTAGGAAGACAGAACAGCCAAATGGAAATAGCTTTAATAAAATAATAGAAGAATATTTGAGCTAATGGCAAACTAAAGGATAATGGGAGAACAATAAAATCTAAGATCACTCAATTGAACACCTTCGTTATTGAAAAATATAGCACTGATTTAGGTAAGATCAAATCAATTGTAGAACACAAGACAACTTCATTGACAGCTATTGAAGGAAGTTCGTTCTCAGACTGCAGCGCACTCAATCTTTTGGTCAATGCATTTTGACTCCCTTAACCGGAAGCTGAAATAATTTAGTCTTTTTAAGTGAAAAAATTCAAGAAGTGAATGATACGGAAGCTTTAAGGAAAGAGTTACAACAGCAAACACGAGCATTCGAGTACGTTTCTCCTAAATGTTCTACTACACAGATAATTTGGTTTAAACCACTAATAAAGCTCTAGTTAACACCTGAGGTAACTTAACCAGGACGTACTCCTCTCACCTGAACAGATAACTGACCCTTGCGACATTTCCCAGAGTAAACACATTTTACACCATTTTGTAGATATGATATTAGCATTCCCTTCAATGGGATACTGATAAAAATAAAATAAAAATATAAGACATGTAATGTATAAGTCAATACCGAAACTTTTATCACTCCAAAAAGTTTTGCCATCTCAGCTTTCAGATGGATATGGAGGCTTTTCTGCTCATTGTATAGCATTCTTCTTTCTTCGGGCTCAACCAGGTCTGCCTCATGCAACAGACTCGATTGAGATTTAGTACCATGCTCCCCATCAGTACCATCATCTTCACAAGCATCTGAACCCAATAAAAACATATAAATTAGGTGCCACATGTAATCAATCCGCAAGACTATGTTCATCTAAAAACAGCTAAATATATGGTGCAACAAACATACACTAATAGGAGGATAATCTATTGAATATGGTTGACTCAAGAACTACGTCCTTTCAACAACAAAAAAGGAGAAGAATAACAGTAATAAGAAAATGAGAATTTCAAGAGAACGATTGGCCTACTGATGCAGTACCTTCTTTCTTTTGTTTTTTGAATAATAACTTGGAAGTTCTGCCATCCGTTTTTTTCCTTTTTAAATCAATAGGTGTTGTAGTATTCTTCTTGGTAGTGCTTACACTTTCAGATTCCATTGTCAGATTCTTCACAATCTTCTCTTGTTTCTCCTTCTTTATACTAGACGAATTGGATTCTGTGCCTAAGTACTTTGATCTTGACGAAGTAGAGCACCTTTCAGACCTTCTTAAAGGGCTTGGAGTGTTCTGTTGTTCAAGTCCCGCAGACTTCTTCTTAGCAGGAGGCATGGATGGGGTCCGCTTCTCAAGGCGCTCAGACTTCCGTTTACTTGCAGGGGTTAAATCCATTTGTTTAGATGAGGCTTCCTTGACCGAGGATCTTGTGGATCTATCTGTCTTTCCCGAGTCAAAACTTGATGATCCTTTACTAACCAGTTTGTTTTTTGAGTTATTACTATCATTATCCCTACTTTTGCTCCCGGATCCAGCATCAATAGCCATCTTAAGCTGTGATAAATAAACCTCAAATTACGTCAGACAATTCTTACTATTCCAAGTACTAAAAGATGTAGTAATCTGATGCAGAAAAACTAATGCGCCCGACAACAATTGATGCTGAAAAATAAAAGGGTGCGAGATTAAAAGCCATCCTGCAACAAGGCTCTATCCAAATTTGCTCAAGCCCACTGAAAAATCCAGTAAATGTCAAATTGACAATTATCCTGGAAGCCATTTCATTGACTTGGAATCAGTTTACCCGACCCAAAATTTAGCTACATGCCCCATCTCTCAGAAAAATTACAAATAGTTATTTCCTACATGCAAATTATTGTTCCAACAAATTATTATTTTTTTGAGAAAGTTAACTGATCACAAAACAAATTATCTTGACCTAAATTTCAAAAGGATCTAGTTCAATCACTTATACCAAAGCAATCCCCTGTGTGCTATCAGGGTATCACTATTCAACAGCAAGATTAGCTTATCCCTAAAGTCTATCTGCCAGCATGTAAGCTCTGAAAGGATTTAGGTGTGTTTGGTTTGGTTAGTCAAAAGACTTTGAAAAACATTTCTCTACGAAAACAAGTTCCTTAAATGAGGAAAATGACTTCCCTGATGAAAGGAAGGAAAACAAGTTCCATAGTGACCCTCCATGTTCATTGTCTCCTCCCCACCCACCCAACATCCCCAACCCCCACCTATTGACCATCCCACCCCCGCCACCCCCACTCCCATGATATTTTGATAGATTTTACTATATAAATGCTCTTGGGATAATTTTTTTTTGCTTACTTACAAACAAAATAAAATAAGTAATACCCCATCATTTTCCATAAAAACATTTTCCTTCGTACTAGACACGTCCTTAGTCAAAAATAAAAATAGGACATATAATAAGTTTTAAGCAGCAGATATGGGGTAAAGCATCTCTCATTTCTTTTTTTGAAGAATGGTAACATTTCAGTTATGAGGGTACAACGTAGCTCTGTTGAAAAATGTTAAAGAAAATTTCTACATTTGAACTATTCACTTGGTAGCAAAACTCAATATTGTATATCTGTTCTGAAAAGAACTGGAATAAACCAAAAAAGGGGAATTTAAGAGTGCATAATTTTAGCTCAACTTCAAGAATCCAATTCCACTCAAACAAAACAAAAATATACAGTTTGTGCAAACCCCAACTCAAGAACATGACAAATACATATAAAATCAACTAAAAATAGTGCAAAAATATGGTACAGTCCGATCCAGCTTCTCCAACTGCTCTTCATACAAGTAACAACCTTGAATATTGTGAAAAGAAAACATTTTTACACCATGCATGCGGTCCGTAACACCGACATTGTTGTTACCCTTGAGAAAAAAAACACCACCATGAACACCAAGAAATTGTCCGACCACCTAGAATTTACAGTGGTAACAAACAAGAAACATACTTTAAAACACCTCCAAATAACTGTAATGTGCTAGAACTTGTTCACTGCTATGAAACAGCAGAAATTTCCTCCTAAATCGTTCTGATGGAAACAATACTTGTATATCACTTTTGAATAGAGATGGAATAAACCCAAAAAAACTGACTTTAAGCTAGCTTTTGGCCATATATTTTGAAAATTTATCATCAAATATTTGTTTGGTCATACATTTTGGATCAGGTCTTCAAAAAAAAAAAAAAACTTCCAAAAACTGCATGTCCAAACACTACTTCAAGTTCCGAAAATCCCAACTTCCTAAACTCAAATTTCAAGTTTCAAGTTTTCAACTTCAAAATCTGCTGCTCACAAGAGCGTGCATACTTCTAGCTTAAATTCAAAAATCCAATTTCACTCAAAACCCAAAAAAAAAGATTAAAAAAATCACACAGATTAGACAGTTTATGCAAATCCCAACTCAAGAACATCACAAAATTCTAACAAAATCAACCAAAAATGCCACATTCAAATACACCTTCTCCAATTACTCTACATATCGTGAAAAAAAACAATTTTTACACCATGCATGTAGTCAGTAACTCAAACATTGCAGTTAAATCAAACAAAAAACATCACCATGAACACCAAAGAAAAAAATCCGATCCAAACCAAGAATTTACAGTGATAACAAGTCAAGAAACTTACATTAAAACACCCCCAAATAACTGTAATGTGCAATAGAACTTGCTTCACTTGCTATGAAACAGCAAAAAATTTTCTCCCAAATCGCTCCGATGCAAAACCCTACTTCAACAAATCCCTAAAAATTGAAATTTGTTGCCGCGATTTTAACTTATAACGGGCCGAGATAACCCGGCAGGCGTTTCACTTTTTTGAAGTACTTTATTACTAGTTAGACATTTGTACTCATTTGGATATATCTTCACAAAATTTATGTCTCTTAGTCAAACACCTTTTCATCGTTAGTCGATAATTTGACTCGACACAAAATTTAAGAAGAAAAAAAAATTATTTATTTTTATTGTCATTGTTCGACTTGATACTGTCATTAAAAAATAATTATTGATATAAGTATTTTTTATCACACTATCTCTACTAATTACTCTTTCCGTTCCATTTTATATGTCATCCATTTCTATAAATAGTTAGACCACAATATTTGTCATTTTATAAAATTTATGTATAAATTATCATATTTTATCTATTATACCTTGATAGAGTAGTTAATTAATCTTGAAAATATATTTATTTATCATTTATTATAAAGTTGACTTAAAAAAACATTAAATAAGGGTAGAAGGGTAAAGTTACATAATTTCTTAATGCAAGTGCAAAGTAAAAATGTGACATATAAAATGGAACGGAGGGAGTAATATTTTTTGGTATTAAATTTTAAAAAATGATATGGAAAATTGCGTTCTAATGAGGGAATCAAGATGCTCAACTAGAGTAGATAGGCGAACAACAGGAAACTCAAATTGTACACTATTTACGACACTACCAAGTATATGTATTTAATACTAAGGGTAAAACATGAAAAAAATTGTATTTTCTTGATATGTCAAAAGTGACAAGTAAAAATGAAAATTTATTTTAAGAATAAGTGACAAGTAAAAGTGAATGGAATGAGTAGTTTGATTTGATACAAGATTTGAGAAAAAGATATAAATGTTTTGATCTAAAATACGATGCTAAAATAGACATTTTAAAATTAGATTGTTACCCCCCCCCTCCGGGCCCAAATTTCTTGTTCAATTTTCCTCTTTACTTGTCCATTTGACAATTCAAGAAAGGATAAAAAAAAAATTACCTATTATACTCTCAATTAATTATTTTTGAAAAGGTAGAAATTCTTGAAAATCTTAAATTTTTAATTCACCCACTTCATAATTAATAGGGTAAAATGATAAACTTACTATGTCAATCATTGTTTTCTTAATAGGTGTATCAATTCAAAAGTTGACAAGTAACAAGGGACAGAGAAAGTATTAGATATAGAAATGAATCATTTTCTTGAAATTGACTAAAAAGGAAAGTGAGTTCAAATTATTGATCATGTTTTTTTACAATTACACATGATGGTGGTCGTTTGGTAATGTGTATAAGAATAATGTTAAATACAATGTATAAATTATGAGGATATCATTTCTTATGCATTATTTGGTTTGGTGTATTAAAAATGATATGAATTGCATAATTTTAAATTTTTATATATTTAATAAAATACCTTCCACAAATATAGTAAAAATGTGGATTTTTTGGGGGAAATATAATGAGATTTAATTTAATTTAACAATAATTGTTTGAATTCACATTTATTAGTTTCTGTTTTGTAAACTATTTTATTTGGTAAATGATGCTTAAATAAATAAAATTTAAAAAGACTACAATAAGAGATTTCATAAGCCATGGTTTTTTCTTCTTCGTCATCCCATTCAATATATTATTCTTAATGATATTAAGTGAATTCAAATCATCTAAAGTTTTATACTTATACATGTACATACAATTTCACCTATTATGTTCTCTATTTTTTAGTCCACAAAAAGCAACAAATTATATGTAGGTAGGACTGTAGGTTCATTAATTATAAATTACTACACTATTACAAAAAAAAAAAAAAGATTCCCCTATCACTAATTAACAAAATAGACTAATACTTTTCTAATGGGGAGTAATTTCCCGCAGATGATCACTCGACTTTTATTTTACTATATCAAAGTTATTATATTATTATTAACTTTTTAATGAAAAATCACTCAATCTTCTTAAGTATTACAAAAAGTCATTAAACAACTATTTTTATACTCAACTTTTCTTCGGTATTATTGAATTGTCTCATTTATTTCCACTTAGTAACATTCTGTTGAGTATATTTTCGGTTAAGAAATATAGTTTAGCGACTTTCGTGATACATAAATAAAGTTAAGATGATCTTTTTCATAACAAGTCGATAGTTGTCTTTAACCTAAAACATTTGACAGAGAATGGTTTTGGACATGTAAGTGCCCGTTTGGATTGACTTATTTTAGGTGCTTTTAAGCCAAAATAACTTTTAAGCAGTTTTGAAGTGTTTGTATAAAGTTAAAAAGTGTTTATGAACACTTATTTTAAAGCCAAAATAACAAAAATAAGTCAAAAGTCATAAGTTAGAAATTCTAACTTATAGCTTATAAGTCATAAGCCAAAAGTCAATCCAAACAGTCCTAACACTTGTGATACATAGTGAATAATGTAGCTACAAAAAGACATCAATTGCCTTGGCAAGTACAATTAATTGATTGTGACTAATTAACAAGTAAACAATACATGATATTGAATGGAACACCAGATGTTGAAAATCATACCATTCTTGCAAGGACTTTAATGATATCATCCATAGATGGCCTATGAAGAGGATCATCTTCAATACAAGCTTATGATACCGAATGAAATATATGACTTCAGTACAGATATCAAACAACAGATGTTGAAAATCATACCATTCTTGCAAGGACTTTAATGATATCATCCATAGTTGGCCTATGAAGAGGATCATCTTCAATACAAGCTTTAGCCAAAACAGCTAAACACAATGCCTCAGCTAGAGGGTAATCTTCCTTAAGACATGGATCAATAAAATTCTTCAATTGTTCAAAACATCCTCCTTCATTAACACCCCCTCCCAAAAATGTAATTGAATCCCTCAAAAAATTCCCATCAACATCTTCTTTCCCCGATATGAGCTCAAGTAATACTACTCCGAATGCAAAAATATCTACTTTTTCAGACACCGAGCCATGTACTAGATGTTCGGGTGCAATCCACCCTCCAAGACTTCCTATACTTCCAATGTCCCTACTCGTTGCTGTTCCAACCCCTCCTTTAGCTCCAAAAATAGCTAACTTAGCCCTCCAATTCGCGGTCAAGAAGATGTTTTTGCTATTGATGTTCATGTGTGTGTAAGGTGGAATAGTACAAAAGTGCAAGTAATGTAACCCTATGGCAATGTCAAATGCAATTTGAGTCCTTTTGTGCCATTTTAAAGAACCAACAGAGGAATTTGACAAACAATCCCTTAATGTACCATTTGATGGATATTCGAAAACAAGATATGATCCTGTTATATCATCTTCACCATAACAAACACCTTGTAATTTCACAATGTTAACATGATTGATTCTTGAATGTACATCAATCACTTGTTTAGTATCATCGAATCGTATTTTCTTGATTAATACTTCAACTTTATCGACACATCCCCTGTATACGTTGTTACTTACCTTACTTTCTTCACTAAAATTACATGTCGCGTTTGTCAATTCATCTATGTTGTATTCTCCCAATGTGTACTTTATTCCTGCAAATAAATCAGGAGATAAACAAGAATTTGTTGATGTTCTAGTAGTCGTTGGACCGGATATTGTTGGAGAACTTCTTGGAGTTGAACATGAAGTAACAGAACCCTTATGTATCGTAGAACGATTAATACATCTTTCTTCCTTGAATTTCCTTAACGCCCTTATGTATAAACCACAAGCGATTAAAGTTGCTACAAGAAGGAGAAAACCAACAATTGATCCTGAAATGTAGAGTTTCTTTAGTTTTTTATTTTTTGTTGATTTTTCTACGAGTTGTGTTGGAAGAAATCTAGGACTAGGAGGTTCAGAGTTTTGAATACTGAAATTGATTGATGGTTCTTTACTCAATGGTACCAAAATTGTTGTGTTTGAGTATACAGTAGGATTAAAACTCAAATTATTCACTCTCCATATATCTTCAACAGGAATCTTGAATTTTTCACTTACTTTTCCTGTATCGTCACCTGATATAAAAGGATACGTCACAAGGTACTTTAATACAGGACCAAATAATTTATCAGGACACGCACATTTTAAAGGTACAATCAACTCTGTTCCACCTTTGATTTCATTGTCGTTAGACATTTTGGTGAAAATGTTTTCTTGAAAAAGCGTGACAGACTTAACTAGACCTTCAAAAACTCCACAAGCAACGTCGTTGAATTTTGTGTTTGTAGGTGCAATGTAACTAACATTTGCTTGAAAGAATTCACCTAAACAAGAACATTGAATTGGAATAATCACCTCTCTTCCAATTTCAAGAATTTGAGACGAAGACGAGACGTTGTTCATGTTGAGGAGTAATTGATCATCAGGATTCAATATCCCAAACAAGTATGAAACATCAGAGATTGTTGTGAAATCTTGATTAGCTCTATAGATCAAAAATGTTTGACAAGAATCATTTGGTGAAGTACATGTGTATTTTGTACCTGGAGAAGTTATACTAGAAAAACATGAAGTTGAATCATAGTATTGTTGGCCATAACTTGAGCCAATAAAGGTCAAAATTACTAGTAGAAGCCAATGAAAAATCATGGCATGCAACAAGAGAAAAAGTGAATAATCAAGAATGTGGCAAATGAAAGAATGATGTTGATATGGGAGGGGAGAAAATAAGATGATGGAAGAAATAGTATAAAATATTTAACAATTGTTACACCAAACATATATGATGAATGGAATATTCCACATCAGACTGGGACGAGATCTTATTTTCTTTGAGCTAATTTTTAACGTGTGAGTAGGCCTAAGACGCATTCTTTATCTAGGGCCGCTCTTTCTAGTTGTTTTGGTACAATTAGGAGATTCTCTAGAAGAAATATGTCAAAGGGATAAGGACTATTCAAGCCTTATAAGGAGTCTAGGAATTTAATTTTATCTTGGTTCGAAATGGGATCATTCCATTCATCAATATATACATATATATTATACATCTGCCGCGTATTATTATTATTATTGGATGAGCGACTATTTAAGTTAATTTCTCAAAAATGAATATTATAAAGTT